ACAGATATTAATGTCAAACGTTAAGCATTTTCAAAGTCCTACTAGAATAAATAACCAGTGCTTCCTACTACCTGCATGGGGTTCACTATGTACTGTTTTTGTGAGAGCTGTCACAGAAGGCTCACAGGCCCCCTTGAGACTGTACACGTGGCAGGTCGCCATTTATTTACCCTTGTGCATTTAGACGTGTGTGTGGAAAACGTGTATCAGTGAGTGGCAGTTATTTATCGTAACTGAGGAAGAAAAAGCAATATTACCGCATATGGGCCCTCAACCCCGATCAACTACTCTTCCCGATGCATGCATCTGTCCACGTGGCTAACTTTTAATATGTATATTTTTACATTATGTAAATTCTTAATTAGCCTGTCTTGTTTAGATTGTATACATCATTATATCTGACATTCTTGTAACTACTATGTGACCGATAAGATTCCTTTAAGAAACTATGCTTTTTAAAGACAAAAGTACCATGCTGAGAGGGGTGACTTACTTATATCCCACATTAGTGGGTGGTTACCCTATTTATAGGATCTTTAAAACAAGTACATATTTTTAACGAACTAAGGTGAATAAAGGCACAACTAAAAACTGTCATCAAAGTTCAGTTTAATGGATTAGTATTTGAGACTTGGAGTCTATACCATCCACAGCCAAGTGGGTCATATCCTTTCTAATGAGGAGTGCTGAGGCTGGTTTCACTGTGCCAGGGTGGAGGGACACCCACCTCTGAAGGTCTCTGCCTTGTCATAAGCGCCTCGCTCAGGTTGGTCAAGGTCCTGACTTCAAAAAACTCAGTTCTCTTAAAGGTACAGACGTGCCACAACGTATGGGGAGAAGGGATGGGGGAGCGACCTAGGTGTTTTGTGGAAACAGGCACTTGAAAACCTGATCTAAATGAACAGACGTGTAACACGAAAAGTACTGAAGAGTGTGTGGGGCGTTGTGCGGCACATGGTCCCTGAGGTGGCCGTGTGGGGAGCCGCGTACAGTACAAACGGCAGATGCGCACGTGCCCTCCACCCTCAGAGGCCCTGGAAGTGACCAAACAGAGGGGCTGCTATAGCAGGTGCCAGGAGTGGCCAGCTGTGTCACCTGATGCTGCTTACCTGACAGGGGCCCTGACTAGTCCGAGAACCGTGTGCACGTTTTCCTCCGGGTAACCACAGGTCTGACGACAAGACCAAGAGAAAATGGGGACTCCTGCTGGGGAAAAAGCCCCAGAATTCTCCCTCTGGGGCCTGGCACTGCTCAGGACAGCACCGCAGTCCTGGGCGAGCACGGCACCAGCCCAAGTCCAGAGAGGACGTGGCCTTAGGTGGCAGGGCACATTCATCATGAGTTTGGAAACGTCCAGAGGACACTTGATCAATAATGCTAATAAATAACCTTGATTGTTCACGGGCACCTGAGAGCTGGAACATCTTTAATCCAACCCCAAATCAATTCACATTTCTATTCACAGCAAGGACGTTTTTCAAACACCTAGGAAACTAGATGATAGAAAATGGATTTAAGACCAGGTGTCCCTTTTGCAATGCTGGGAAGAAGGCGGAAAGGACAGACTCCCTAGTTTGGAGGATCGTGATGCGAAAGGCTGTGTGCTTCATACTCTATGAGACAAAGACCTAATAAAAAAAAGAGACTGCTCTTTCTTTTTTTTAATTTTTATTTTCAGTACATTAAATTGACTCATAAAAACATTCTAAAAATGTACAATTTTTCCTTTTTAACAAAGTATAATAAAACATAAAAACCCCAAAAACAGAATACTTGACATTTACAATTCAAAATCAAATTAGCAGAATATTAAATATTTACAAAACTATATCTTTTAAAAATATTTATAAAGTTACATGCAATTTTGTAGAATTGACATAAAAGAATGGCTCAAAAATGGGAGAATTTTCCTTCATTCCTAAAAAGAAAATATGTCCAATAGAAGCTGGGAAGATTCTTGAGTGTACACGAGGTCTTCAGTTTCAGTACCAAAGCCTGTCTCTGTGCATCTAAGAACTTTACGCATGTGAGGGGCTTCTTAACACCGGGGTGACCTGGCAGGCGCACCCCTCCCTCCAATAACAGTGTAGTAACATTGACCTTTGGCCTCAACCAGCACAGTACGTAGTTTGCGAGTGTTGATTAAAGATAACTCACTTTGATTCAGAACCTCGGGGCTTTTCAGTAATGGAGCCTCTTCAGAACCCATGGCTTTGAATGTCCCCTGCCTCATTCACTGGGAGTCATCTGCACTTTGGAAAGGACGGCCAACCCGCTCAGGTTCCACAGGCCCATCCACTGGGACGGGTGGTCGAGCTGAGCAGGGTCAGGGTTTCCCTTACAACCTTTTAAGACTTCAACACGTAACGCCATCAGTTATCAGCGTGTAAAACTAGCAAGGCATCAAATAAGCCACCACGGAAGCAGGAGGAGTGACAACGACGGGGAGCGAGGAGGGCGTGGCCCACTTCCTGCTCAGCAAGTGCTCACTAGCAACACTGCAGTGAGTGGACAGATGCAAGCCTCGGTCAGCATTACAGCTGCATAATGTCAGGCAAAGTTACTACCCGCTATGCATCTCCATACGTAGTGTGCCGTGTAAACTAGCTAGGTGGACTTCTTGCGATAAAGGACCTAGAATTCTAAATAGTGAATTAAAATACTGAACCTACTAACTGCTGTGTTAACAAGCTGACTCGTGTAATTTTTTGGAGATGATAAATGATGCTGGTTTTTTAAAATACCCAATCACATGTCTGCTTTCAAGAAAATAGCTTTTTCTTTATTATTCTAAGTGCTAGCTCCCATTTTCTCAGTGCTCTTTAGCAATTAGAAGTTTTTAACATTTATACACTTTCCAATGTTCAATATAATCATAAAATAAAAATTAGAAAATAAGGTAGAAAATTGAGTGTTCTGCTTTAAAAAAAAAAAAAAAAGATTAGTGTTTTTATCCCAACGTTGTATTCTACTTCAATCTGTACATTCCACTTTCCCCATTCTTGGAGATAAAAAATGGGGTTAGAAACTTTAAAATATGACAGACTACACAGAGCAAAGTGGCTGGTGCCACACCTACCTGGTTGCCACAGCATTTGGAAACTGAGCCCACAATTTCAGGAAAATAAGTAGTTGAAAGGGTCAGTCTGATCTGTGTTTCTAGCTGATGAGGAGTCCTCTGAGGAAATGCCAAATGCTCTTTAGGCTCACTGACTGTGGTTGCTTCTGGAGAGAAATTTCATCAGAGAATACTGCTAGCAAATATTCCCAAGTTCAAGTATGCGATTCACTTGGGAAGAGGTCTCACGGAGCGGCAGCTGAATGCTTTGTGTCCTGGTGTCTCACATTTACGTTTTACCACTCTCAGCTCGGAATGGCCTCACTGGAGACGTCACTCTGCACATGCACTTTCAAAGACAGCTGGAAGTTTCTCTAAGACCTCTGATGACTGGAACACAGCCCCACAATGTCTGAACTTATTTCCCTCAATTTGAATGTCATACTTCAAATTGAAGTTCGTTTTAATTTTTTGTCGTATTTAACGCTAACCTCTAATATTTATCAAAACAGTTATAAGGGTAACAACAGACACACTTTCATTCCCCAATACTGACCACTAAAACAAAAAACCTAAATATGATTTTTTTCTTTTGTTATGAGACGGTTTTCAACAGTTTCACTGTGTTGAATGAAATAGGATTTATTTAAAATAGTTCTTTGTTTAAAAAACCAAAAATTTTAAAAGTTTGGCTTTCAGCACATATCCAGGCCACTGTAACGGCCTTCAGAAATATTAAAATCGTAAACATCAATGAACACTCTTAAGTCTTCCTTAAACATAATATGACAAGTTCCAGTCTAGTACTCTTTAAGGCAAAGTTGTGTCAGTCCTCGTAATTTTGACATTTTGTAGTGTTTATAATTTAAGAGATCAATGTAACATTCCCCCAAAATGCTGTTGTAAGCATCGCCATTACTTCAATACTGTGTACCAGGAAGAGAGAAGAATACAGAGGTCTGTCAATTCTGCATTGCATAGAAATAAAACTCTACTAAAATAAAACTCTTAAAAACTCTACTAAAAGCCTTTCATTAAAAAAATGTAACAACTTTCTGCTTTAGTTTCCGTGAAGCAGGAAACTGATCTCAAAATTTGAAGCCTTACATCACAATGCCTCAAATTCTAGGGTATTCTTTTGATTTACACCAATTTTACATGAGGCTGATTGTCCCATTTTAAGAGTGGTCTGAGTATTGTGATTTTCTTTTTTTAAATAAATATTCAACTGGAAAATCCCTGGGCAAGACCTTACCAATCAATATTTTAATATTGAAGGCTTTAGCATTTAAAACAATATTGTTTGAGCAGAAAATTCCCTTTTGCCTGGAAGCTTTAAGTCCCTTACTTTCGGACCAAAAGCTCTCATTGCAGTGGGGTGAAACTGAGAGCTGTGTGGTGGACTTTATTTCCCACCTTGGTAAAACTAGACTTCTGCAGATCTTGTAGCTCTGTCCTGTCAGTGTATTCTCTTTCAGAGTCTTACCACTTTCTATTGTAGTTTTCCAGGTAATTTTTAACGGAACTAACTATTGATACACAGCCTAATACAAAAGAAGTTGACAGGAGAAAATTTCAAATCGTTTGCTCAGAGATTATAGGACTGTATTATTGTTGTTGAAATGTCTGTCTCAAGTGTGAATCCATTAGCAGTGAGCCTTGGGGTCCTTGGGAAGTCCATGGGAGATAAAAGAACTTGCAAACTTGGCTAAGGATGTGCAGCATCCATCAGTGCCGCTCACGAGGTGTGCTGCTATCGCGTCTCTGCCAGGGTTCCTTCGTGGTGGAAGACGACAGGACTCAAAGCTCGGAAGGGCTGGGAAGGAAGGTGTCCTCAAAGCTTTGACTACTAGGGATTCTCTGGGACTTGGACCCTTTTAGAAATTAAGTTGTTGCAAGTAACTATTTCTATTTAATAATGTAGTTTAAATTTATTTGTAGGAAAAAGAAAAAAAAAAAAAACCCTGAAACTGCTACAAGTGCTTTTAAGGAGGGAAGGAAATACTAAAATCTCTGTTGTGTACTAAATCATGTAGCCTGCTGGTGCGGACTCTAAGAACGGATTCTCTGAGCGTCTTGCACTGACTGGTCTCAGGGAGCTTGTCTCCCAGAACTGCAGAGATGGACATCGGTTTACATTCTTCGGTAGTGCAATCCTTAAAAAGCCCAGAGATTAGTGCCTAACCACTTTAAGAACGAAACAGAACAGAACAGAACAAAACAAAGGCGACATTTTCCCTCACCAGGGGTGTCAAGAGTCCGACTGGTAGAACTCCACTTGGAGAACTCCGACCTTCAGTTCTCGATTCCAACCTCACGTAGCTGCCCTGGAATTACGTGTGAGCCTAGAAGGACCAATTACGGCAATGCTCTTCAGGAGACGGGAGGTCTCTGCATTGCAACCAAGGGTGGAGGTGGCCAACTTTCACCCACAGTGGAGATACCCACTAGGCCAGTCCTGACATCAAGCTCCCGTCTAGGATTTTGGCAATAAAACTGAGTTTGATGCATTCCTACGCTAGGTTTTCTATCCAGTCTAGTAAAGTAAAGCACCTTTGGATTAAAAATATTGAGCTCAACAGCAACTAGACTTCTCAGTTTTGTATTTAATTTTCCTTAGGTCTCCATGGCTTAATAGTGTTCTGTTGCCAGAGAAAAATATCAATCTGTGGAGTCCAGACTTTCTGCTGGAGGGGCATATTTCAACCTAAAAGTACCTAGAGAGGGGGAAAAAAAAGAGATCAAATTTGAATCACCATAGAATTACTGCCATGATCTGTCCAAAGTTATTTCCAGAGTCACTGGTCAAGATCTGGGTGCTGGAAATCCAGACCAGCTGTTCTGACCACTCCCAGCTCCCCTGGCTCCACCCCGCAGACCGGACGTTATCTTAACAAGTTTATCAAATCAGAGAAGGGGTGAAAAAGACTGAAGAGTTCCCAGTCTGTTTCTTCATTCTTTGGGAGCTCAGACAGCACAGAATTGGCCCCCTTCCTTGGGACAGGGCAAGGGAGGCCTGGCCGCCACCACAGGCCTCTGGGCTCGCTGCGTCAGGAGATGCAGCACCACCTCTATCAACGGGGGAGGGGGGGGCCCACAGTCACTCCACCTGCCACCAGACCTGATTCCAAGTTGTCTGTAAAGCTCTCCAGGTGACTAAGGGGCACAGGCAGGTCTGGAACAACCCTCAAAAGTCTCCAGAAAGCAAGTGGCTGACTATCCAAGGTCGCACAGTGAGCAGTCGCAGGCTGGGACCAGAATTCCCAACGCCCAGCCTAATCTTTCCAAGGAAAACAGCAAGAACAAACCTGGTGTGGTAACGACAGCAGACACACACTTGACTAAAGGAGACAAGAAAGAGTAGCAAAGGGGGAAGGAAGAAGATGCAGCACAGCGAGTAAGGACACCACGTAGCCGCCACACAACGCCCACGGCCACGGCCACGGCCACTCTAGACGGGGGAAGAGAAGCGGGGACAGCGAGTTCCACCTGTAGCGCCTGAACTCGCACGCCACGCCCTCGGTTCTCAGTTAAACACCGGCGGCGGTGGCACTAAATCACCCATGCTTCCTCCCCAGTCACGTGGCACAAAAATAACAGGCCAAGGAGCCACTGGGCCACAGCCAGCGAGCCACACTCTAAAATGAGAAGCAGGCTGAAACCACAGGGACAGTCTCAGAACCAAAGCAGACCTTCTGGGGGCTGCACAGCCCATCAAGAGTTTCGTGCTTTTTCAGAGAGCATTTGAAAAACCACTTCTTGCTTGCTTTAAAAAAAAAAGGAAGTTGACTATTACTTTCACAGAAAGGATGCTCCTGTCTGGAGCTCTCCACCTCGGGGGCCTTTACCTTGCCGGTTGAAGTCCATGGACGGCTGCTTGCAGTCCTGAGCGCGGTGACCGGTGGCCCCACAGTTGTAACACGACAGATTCCCGCTCTTTTTGTGACTGGAGCCGTTGCTACTACCCACCAAGCCCTGGGCCTGGTAGACGCCCGCCGCCCCCATGAAGTTCTGCACGGGCGGGACGGTGAAGGCCGACTGGCCGCCCAGCACGGGCTCGGGGCCCACGCCGCTGCTGTAGGGCGAGTGCACGACCGGGAAGGCGCCGCCGCCGTACTGCTGGGCGCCCACGTAGCCACTGCCGCACATGGGACTGAACGGCAGGAACGGGAAGGGGAAGACGGACGGCCCCGAGAACGGGTGCTGGAAGTAGTTGGCGTAGCTGACAGTTAGGCCGCTCGAGCCGCAGCTCCCGCTGCAGCCGCAGGACGTGCACACGACGCAGCCGGGGGGCGGGGCGGGCGCGGGCTGCTGGGGCGCGGGCTGCTGCTGATGGTGGTGGTGGTGGTGGTGGTTCTGGGCCGAGGCGGGGAGGTTTCCGGGGGAGCCGCCGCCGCCGCCACCGCCGCCGCCACTGCTGCTATAGAAGCTGCTTTCGGGGACCGAGGAGAGCGCGGGGCTGGAGCTGGGGGCGGGGCAGCTGGGCACGGTGGCCATGTTTGCAAAGGACGTGGCAGGGTGGCTACCGGCAGAGGCAGTGTTGCTGTTTGCGCAGAAGCTGCCCTGCAGGGGGCCCACGGGCACACTGCTCATCGCAGAGAAGGCAGCTTTGGTGTTGGCTGTGTACAGAGCAGTCCGAGGGTTTATTATGGCAGGGGGCACGCTTATTTGCACGTTGCCGGAACAGGAGGTTTGCCCAGACACGGCAGAATCTGCAGGGACAGATGAAGACACCAGAAGTTTGATGGGTGGCCGAGCCACATGGAAGACGGTGCTGGACGTCCCTGCGGCAGCAGTGCTGGTCTCCACCACCAGGGCCGGCTGCTGTGCCGGCTTCATCACCCTGTCGAGGGCGGACGCGTGGACGACTTTGGTGCGGGGACCAAAGGAGACGGTGGGCGACACAGAGCTGCTCTCGGTGAGTCCAGAAAGGACCTGCATGGGCTGATGGGGGGTGGACGCGGGTAGCATGTCCATCATGGTGCTGCCAAAGTTCTTGTCCACTTTGATGCCGCTTCTTGGTCCAGAGACTTTACTGCGCTCCTCGAGAGACAGCAGCGAGTGCACAGAGGACGAGAGGAGCTTCATGTCCGCGCCCCCCCTCTCCGCCTTGTGCACGGAGTTCAGCACCCGGATGGGCGCGACGTGCGAGGCCGCCGTCATCACCTGCGGGGGCAGCGGGTGGTGGCCCGACGGACTGGAGCCTGCTTCGTTCTGCACGGGCAGGACCTGCGCCGTGGGCCTGGCGGAGCTCGACGTGAAGTGGTTCAGCAGCATCACAGGCTTCTCCTTGTCAGAGCCCTCCAAGTGGATCTCCACACCTAGAGAGGTGGAAACAGCGTCAGCACAGCTTCCGCAGACCAGGGCGGGGCAGCACAGCGCGAGGCACACGGGGCGTGCTTACGTCTGTCGTTCTCCTCCGCGCTGTCCGAGCTCTCTTCCCGGGCCTGCACGCCCATCGGGCTGGGCGAGGAGCTGGAACACTCGGAGGAGCTGCCTTCCCGGGCCGTCTGGTGCGGGGGCTGCGCCACCTCCACCCGCAGCGCTGCGGAGAAGGCACAGGTGACAGCCCGGAGGTGGCACCAAGGTCCGCGAGCCACGGGATGCCGACGGGGGCTGTGCCAGCCGGCGCCAACCGCGCCCTCCCCTCCCACCCGCATGCATGCCTATCGGGCCCATTTTCTATCCTGTCCCTATTCATACAGGGCTGAGGCTCACAAGCTCGCCAGGCGGCAGACGCACGCGTGGCCGTGCTCCCAGCCTCCCCAAGCAGACGCTGCAGGACAGGAAAAGGACCCGCAAACCGCCGGGTGCTACAACAGCCGCACTCCACAGACAGACACCTCCGTTTTCTGAGGACCGAAGACGTAAGACCTTTTCAGTCAAATAAGCACTGAAAAGATGCACTGACATTTTTTCTTCCTGGTTTACTGTCACTCTTGATATTTCTAGTGCATGAGGAAAACAGCAGAACAGCTGTTACCGTGACCCTCCCCCTCCTGCCGAGGAGAGGACGGCAGGGAGAAGAGGAGGAAGGCTGGTGGCTCGGCATCAGGGACTTCAGGATGGACCTGCAGGGCGACGGCCTAAAGCCGCCTCCACACCTGCCATGGTCGGGGCAGGGGGCGGGGGGAGAAGAGGCTTTCATCTATTTTGCATACTTCCTACTCTCTCCCTTTCACCAGAGCAGTTTCTGGGTCTAATGCTTTTGCCCAAACCACTTCAGGCGAGTCACCAGTCTCCAGCTTCTAACACAAACGTCCCTTCTATTTTCCTGTCGCAGAAACTATAAAAGCTAAAATAATGAAAAGTAACTCTTAAGTATGAGAAAATGGAAACAGAAAAGTCCCAATTTTGGGACTTCCGTGGTGGCTCAGTGGTCAAGAATCCACCTGCCAATGCAGGGGACACGGGTTCAAGCCCTGGTCAGGGAGCTAAGATCCCACATACCGCGGAGCAACTAAGCCCGTGCGCCACAACTACTGAGCCCACGAGCCTAGAGCCCGTGCTCTGCAACAAGGGAAGCCACTGCAACGAGAAGCCCGTGCACCACAATGAAGAGTGGTCCCCGCTCGCCGCAACTAGAGAAAGCCCGCGCACAGCAACAAAGACCCAACGCAGCCAAAAGTTTAATTAATTAATTAAAAAATAAAATAAACTAAAATAATGAAAAGTAACTCTAAGCACTAGAAAACAGAAAGGGAAAAGGGGCGTGACCTGTGGCCTGGCCCTCCTCCGAAGGGTCCCAGGTCCAGGCGCGCCCGGCCCCACCCACCTGCAGCATGGCTGCTTCGCACCGGCTGCACAGGCCCCACGTGGCTGGTGGGGGGAACGCGGGCCACTCCGCTGCTGCTGACTGGGGGAGGGGCCGAGGGGTTCAGGCACCGTTTCTCTGACTTCTCCCTGTGCGACAGGAAAGCACAGCAACAAGCGAGCGTTCAGTTCTGCTGCAGAGCCTCTCCGTGTTTCAGTCTCTACTTAATGCAGAGCCTCTCCGTGTTTCAGTCTCTACTTAAGAAGGCTGATTTCCGCCAAAATAATCTCCAGGGTGGAAGATAACGCATTCTGACTTCTCAGATTCACTCTAAAGGGTCCTTCCTAGCAAACCAAAGCCACATTTGTAGAATCTTAAGAGCATTAATTAAGGTTTGATAAGCAATCAGCAGTAATAAGTCCTAGCGTCTGTTCCGCATGTTAGAAACTAAAATGAAGACACATTCCGTAAACAATCTCACACTCACTTCTCCAACTCCAGCTGAGTCTTGAGCTTCTTCTTTGCTCCCATGGTGAGGGATTCAAATTTATTTAGATCTTCTTCCGTAAGGCTCAGAAACTTCCACAGAAGAAACAAATTACAAAGTGTGAGAATTAATTAGGATTCTGAAGACAAAGAACTTGGAGTTTAATTTCATAAACGTATTCTACCTCTAGGATATGTAAACAGATCAAACCTAAGTAGATAATAAAAGACTGGGGATCGCTGTCAAACATTTACTTGCTAAATGACTTGGTGTCCAGGGTCCAAAATATAAGACGCTCATTGTGCGTCCGAGGGTCACGGGCTGTGCCCACTGAGCCTTCAGCACAGGCGTCCGAGTGACAGCTGGGTGAAGACTGGGCACCTGGAAGGTCCGTGCTATGCGGGCAGGAGACTGAAACAGTGTTCTGCGTCTCAACTGCTGCAGAGATGCAGCTGGTGGAAGTGTCTCCCCTCCCGGGGCTCTCCCTCCAGCGACAGGAGCAGTCTTCTTTAGTGGCTCTTTTTTCTTGAGGTCATGGTCATTTTAGGGACAACAGCAACTTTGTTGGGTAGCCAACGATCCAGAAAAGTAGATGCCATCCAAACTGAACGGCGACCTAACCCACCGGCCTCATACTAAGAAAACAGATGATACTTGGTCCTCACAACGGTCCACAACATGGCTTGTGATCTTAGCCTTTTCAACTCATACGCTACGCTAAAACTTTTTAAACTGATCATGACCAAGGTTAGTAAAATCTGTTGTTTTTAAGACTTGTGAATCCTAAACTGAGAGTATTGAAAATTTACTTAAAATGTGTTTTTTATTAGCAGTAAAAGCTTGATTTCTAGATTCTTCAATTGCAGATTTTTGGACAAACGAAACGTTTGCAGAGATAAAAGGCACCAAGTCACTTTATCCAGCAGGGGGAGCTCAGAGTTCAAACATCACATACAGGTCCGATTTACTTTTACCATTGACACTGAAACTTAAGAAATTTCAGAATTTTTTAACAGTGAAAAAATGCTCCTTGTCCAAACTGTATTGTAAAAGATAACTGCTATGTAGGATTTCTTGAAAGACATAAAATTCATCTATTCCTTTAGCTCTAAGAGCCTACATGAAGGCAGGTCATCAGACAACCCTTTTGCACTGGGCTCTTGTAAAAGGCTACGCTGAGGGGCGTCTAAGAAAGGGGGACGCGGGGCCCACAATTCACTACCTCTACCCACTGAAGGGCTGCTGGAGACATAGCCCTCAGTCACAGACAGTGAGTGTCTCGTTTGGGAAGACCCCAAACTATCTTAAGAAAGCTGTTTGTTTACAGACAACTGTGATCCAGTGTTTGCTTCAGCTGCAGGTAGCCTCCAAATTCAAATCCACGGCCCCTCCAGCAAGCTCACGGGACTTGTGGGGACACGCATCTGCAGGTGTTAAGGACCAGGTGCTGTGACCTCCACGACACACACGCTGCAGAAACCCAACTCAGTTCCTCTAGGAATGAGGTCCAAAGAATGACGGGTTACCTGAGACAACAAGCACGTTCTCGCTGCCTGCTAGTAACCAACGTACCTTCTCCATCGTGAGCTGTTTAAAGACGGGGTAGTACTTGTGCAAACGCAGTTTCCGAAGCCAGTCTAAAATCCCATTTTGCTCCTGGGTCTGCGGGGCCTGCAGGCTGGAAGGCATCAAGATAGCGGGCGAGCTGTCCATCGGGGTCCGGTAGGCCAGAGCTGAGCCTGCACCCCCCGCGTGCGAGCAGTGGGGCAAGGCGGACGTGCTGGCCGAGTGCTGCCCGTGATGCTGGGCGCCGCCCTGAGACGACGGGATGCCGGCCACTCCGCACACAGGCCTGCGAGGACAGCAGACAGGTAGTTTTCAAAAGACCACGGCCTCCACCGAGGACCAGCTCCTACAGCCTGGACTGCATCTGCAGCCATGTCCACTGCTGGCGCCAGAGCTACTGCCACCACCACCCTGGGGTGAACGTCTGAAGGCGTGGACGTGTGCATGCACGGACGTGTGTGTACCCATCTAGATGCTGCGCTTGAGTACGTGTGTACATGTTATGTATGTGTACACGTCTGTGTGTCACCACCAGACCTGTGGCTTTGCTGCCTAGTTTCTTTCTGTTGCTTCTGTCACAGGATGATACTGATAATCATATATTAAAACTCCAAAATCTTTAAGATTCAAATTAATTTTTTTTTTTGAAAAGTAAATTCTAGAAAGCTGAAGGACCAAAGCATCACCCTCTGTCCCTGCCCCTTCCACACTAAACTGCAAACTGACATATTACATGTTTACACACTCCAGGCAGAGGGTGAAGAAAGTCAGCACCTTCAAAGACCTCATTACCTGACTAGAGCTCACGGAACCGTGTGTGTGTGTGTGTGTGTGTGTGTGTGTGTGCGCGCGCGCGCGCACGCGTGTACACACCGTCTGTGATGTCAGCCCATTTTAATGCTGGCTGTCAGTCCAGATGTGCAGTCTGTCTGTCACCCGCGCACTGCCACCATCACTGTCGGGCCCCGTGCTGGCAGAGGGACCTCCAGAGCAGCAACTCTGGCCCTTCGTGGGCTTAATCACTCCCCAGGAGCTTGTAAAAATGAAGATTCTCAGAAATTTTGGTTTCCTAGAATGTGCAGGGCCCAGAAACTGGCATTTGCAATAAGGGTCTTTGGGAATTCTAATTCCAGGGGCTCCGAGAACCACTTTTTTTTTTTTTTTTTTTAAGAAATCAAAAAGTGGATTATCTCTATCCAATTCTTCTCTCAATATTATTATTCAAGACTAAGATCAAGAGTGACTTAACTCTAGAAACAACTATTTACACAAAACGAAAAGTAAGCTCTGTAATAAGGCTGACTGGAAATGCGTTGGTTACATGGTAGAAGTCTCACCTTCCAGACACGCCCATCATGGTACCGACTTTAGACAGGGAAGGGTTGCCAGGACCTACAAGTTAAAATAGATATAATTTATTTACAGACCATAAAAATGTTTCTACTTTTACTGAATTATATTGTACAGACTCACTTGGACTTTGAAGCTGCTGGGTGGGAGATGAAGTGCTGAAAAATCTCTTAACATGGTCGTTTTTTAATATGTGAGAAGGTAATGAAGCCAAATACCTAGAAATGAAGCAGAGTGGCTTCATCAGCATCAGAACGTGTTACCAGAAGGCAAGGGGGGGAGACTGTAATTTTCAGTTAAGAGACATATATAGAGCAGAGCAAAACTGAACAGAAGTGCCTTGACCTATATGCTTCCTGCTTTATTCAGTTTTATTCTTGGTACGATTCATACTGCTTCCTGGTGCCCCTTTTCCTTATTTACACTGTGTTACGCTGTATGAATCGAGTCTCTCAGGGCCCACAACCCGGGCCGTGAGCACAGCTGGGGCCGTCACAGCTGCTGGGTGGCACGCTGATGTTGGCCCCAGTCCCCGGGGCCCTCTGTGCGCATGTACAAGACCAACGCGCCAGGACGTCATCAAGGGTCCAGAGCCACTGGGCCCAGGAGACTTTTTATTAGGTCCTCATTTTATCCTTTCAACTATAGGGCAGAGGCAGATTTTATTTCATTAAGACCGTCAAAATTACATTAAATGGTGGCATACACTTTGAAATTCCTTCACTTATATATTCTCAAAATCATGCCTAGATTATTAAGATCCTTCGAATTCTCCATAACTGATGAAAACCCCTAGAGGCAAACAGGAGACCTGAACCATCCAGACTGCATGTCACCTGAGGAGCCCCTCAGATGCCTGGGCAGCTCACGTCGGGCCCCGCCCGCGCCGCAGAGGGCCATCGGCGGCCGCCCGCGCCGCAGGGGGGCCGCTGGCCGTGGCCTTGGGTGGGGTGACGAGCATTACCTCAGGTCCGCTTCCAGATCCATGTGGTTTCGCTCTACATAGAATGCATCTGGGCCAGCTAAGCAAGGAATGAATTTCTCCAAATTTTCTTCAGGACACAGCTGAGATAACTGAAAGACGAAAAGGCATAGGAAGTATGTCACAATTCATCTTACGGAACCAGAACTCCTCACTGTGGGAAACACTTGGGCAGGTACTGGCTGCTGACACCTGCTGCTGTGATTCTGGGAGCCACCTGGGCTTCCGCGTCCACTTGGGACGCAGGAAGCAACAACCCACCACAACATCAAGAAGAAGCTCGACACCCCACACAGCTGTGCCTGCTCTTGAGCCCAGCAGAGGGCTGAGCTGCAAGGCCACCATGTGAACCGAATTCCAAGACGGGCCTGCCCCTCTGAGGACGCAGGGCACGTGAACTGCCTCAGCCGTGGCAGAGCCCGCGGGAGAGATGGCTGCCATACAGGCAGGTAGAAGAGATCGGCTGGGATGAGCACATCCCCCCAGGCTGAGTGTGCGTCAGACAGCAGTCGGCCCGGAGCCCAGACGCAGGGGGCCTGTGTCCTCATTCCCGAGCTCCCTTCCACAGGCGGGGAGGCTGGAGAGAGTCTGCACAGGTGGCACAGGGGTGGGGCAGCGGCCCCTGGGGCTGAGGCTGGAAACCCCATATGCCTTTCCCTGGAGCCTGCTCTCAATCCAAAGCAAAAAGCCCGTAACCCGCTGGGGGCGGGACGAGATTGCTCGTGCTCCCAGAGCTCAAGCAAAACCCCCCATTTCTGGGGGCTGAGGCAGAATGCCTTCATGCCTCTGGAGGAGGAGGGGAAAGTCCTCCCGGCACCAGGTCACAGGCAGAGATACCCTGCTTCTCAGGGAAGATGAAAACAAAACCCCTCTGGCCCCAAGGAAGGGGCAAGAAAGCCCTCCTGAGCCGAGTCAGCTGCTGCTGGGGAAGGAAGGGGCAGGGATGCTGAGAAAGGCCCCCCACGACCCTGTGGTTAGAGCTGAGGCTGCACCAGCAGGACGGGGAAACCACTCCGACCCTCACCGAGCATCCATCACCACGCAACAAGTAACAGCAGTCTCCCCAGGGAGGGAGGAGTCAACGGAGCAGGGAGACGCCCTCTGTGCCGCAGGTGAAGCAAGACCACTCCAGGCTCCTCTCAAGGCTCAAGGGACCAGCAGGACTCCCCGGAGGAACCTGAGGCCTGTGGTGCAACAGCAAAACCCAAACCCAGCTCCGCTCCTGATGAGATCAACCTGAAGCCCCGCCGCCGGTCCAACAGATGCAGCAGCAGGCCCGTTTCCAGGCTAGTTTCTAGACGTGACGTCTAACGTTCAGTCAAAAATTATAAGATAGAAAAGAGGGGGCAATCTATCGCCAAGATAATCATCGGAGCCAGACTGGAAAATAACCCAGATGTCGGCACTATCACACAAGGACTTGGAATAACTGCTGAACATACTAAAGGACTTCGTTTAAAAAAATGAACAACGTTGCATGAACAAGTGGGAAATTTCATCAGAGAGACGGAAACTTTCTATTAAAAGACGTTATCAAACGGAAAAGCTACAGAAAACAAAAGAACAAAAAACCCCAAAACCATGGTACTAGAGATGAAGAATTCAGCTCGTCAGCAACCTGGGTAGAGCTGAGGAGAAACGTAAGTAAACTTGAAGACGGGGTCACGTACACATGACTCAAGGCCCGGAAGAAGAGAGAGTGGGGCAGGAGAAATATCTGAAGAGATAATGGACAAGAAGTTTCCAACATTACTGACAGACAGCAAGGCAGAGACCAGGAAGGGCAGAGAACCCAAAGCCAGGTGAGTATCAGCCACTGCAAACACCCAGACAAAAGAGTGGCAAAGTCGGCCGGCATCAGCGGAGTCCAGAGAAGTGCTTTTTCACAAGACAAGAGGCTGGCACAAAGGAGAGGAAATTCAGTGTTCTAAGTGGTGCGGAGGAAACAGGGAACCCCCGGGGAGGATCACTAATCAATCCTAGAAAGCACGGCACTGTGGCGTCCTTCAGTGCATGGCAGGCCTAAATAAGAGGCACACTCAAACAACTTCTGCCCAAGCTTCTCAAACAGGATCCACCAACTCGATTCTCTCCTACAGGATTATATCCTTAATTTCATAATCAAATTGCAAGCCAACTTTGGAGACACTTCAGCTATGTTATTCCACACAACAAAGGTGACTACTTCAGCTGAACAACTGCGGCAAAGACAGTGGTTCACTGCTCCAGCACAGGCCAGGCCAGGGGACTTTAGACACACGGGTGTCTACGTATATAACACGTGTGCGTGGGGGTAAAGAAGTCATTCTTTAGTAGTGCAGCTTGTTCAAACGGTATTTTTTGAATCAATTTTAAACCAAACAGGTTGTACATCATCTGTATTTCAACTTTAAAAAATAAAAACAAACAGGAAAATTCAATATGTAAACGGAATAAGGTGGGAAAAGGTGAAGTGTCTGCCCACTGCCGCCACGTGAGCCCCTCACTCAGCCTTGGCTGAGCTGTAACAAACCACCACCAGCCAAACACCCCTTGGGCACCTTCACACTCGCATCTTTCTGTCCCATCTCGTTCTCCGCAACCGGAAGGAATGTGGACCGTGGCCCTGAGGGCCACTCGCCCTGTTGGAGCACGAATCCCCGGCACTGCACCCGCTGAAGGCTGCAACCACGGAAATTACCTGGCAGTCCAGTGGACCGTGGGGAATGAGACCCTTTTAATTTTTGTAAGAGCCCTTAAATCACCTTACCTTTGAAATAAATTCAGTCACTTCAGAGGAAGATTTGGTTACTGATGTTACTGAAGAATCAGACCACAAGACCTTAAAAACAAATAAACAAACAAACCTTAAAAACAGACGCCACATACTTAATTCCCAACACACTTGTCCAGGGATTCGTGGCCGGTACAGGCGCGGTAGTGGGACAAGCCCTAGTGCGCCTCTTGCATGGAGCGTTTATATACCCCTTGGCTTGTTACAGAAAGAATGTTCACGTAACTCAAGTGCATTAAAGCTTAACTTCCTGTTTTGCGCAATTATTCAAAGATCAGTGTTATCACTCAAGCGTGGAGTCTAAGGCTGCTCCTCAAAGCGTTAGAAAGTCCCTGACGACCCCGACTGCGAGTATGTGTGTGAGCACATCATCCTCACGTGGACCTCCTCTGTTCAGGTCAGTCTACGCAACTGTGGATGTGGAATCAAGAAATTACCAGAAACGAGCTCATCCAAACAGTAAGTACTCCATACATGTTCAGTGCTGGGGGCATGCTGACGGGAGGAGGCCAGGTCCCAGCCCTCAGGAATCTGACAGAACTGGGGGGGGTGACACAGGCCAGGGCAGTCAGTACCAGAATTGCGGGGAACATCCTCCATCGCAGGGGGCGGGGGAAGAATTCGGGGAGAAAACATCAGAAAGGTCTTTCTGGAAGTTCTACAAAGCCCGGTGTGTCTGTTTTCCCTTCCTGCACCTACGACAGCAGCAGTTTTAGTTCATGACTCCACAAATGGACTGTAAGTTCCCCGGGGCAGAGGGCTTTCCTGCACCGAGGAAAGCGTGAGCTGAACTCAGAAGGCGCGAGAAGGACAGAGGGGACAGGATGAGATGGGAGGGAAGCAGGGTCCATAACAAGAAGGGTTAAACCACGAACGAGGACGTTTACCCTAAAATCCAGAAGGAGCGTTGGAGGATTGCAAGTCGGGAAATAAAATGACTGAGTGTATTTTATCACCAATAGGAAAGTGTTGTATTTACACTGATTTAGAGAAAAGAGGTTGGAGACACCAAACAACTCTCATGCTCTCCTCCCACCCCGCGCTGGCCTTCATCTTCTGAGAAGCAGCCCAGCATGTTTGCTGACGGTCTCCGGGGCCTGAAGCGCTGGCCATCTCTCCTCTCTGTTGAAATTCACGTGAGTTCCTCTCTGTTCTGGTGGCTGTCACATCACATAACAATTACTAAGGTATGTTTTTCAAGCCCCCACAAAATACAAGCCAATCAAGGAAAGGGACCTCTCTTCTTCATCTCTGAATTCCCTATGCCTCCCAGAATTTATCAAGGCAAGTGCTGGCATTTTTGAATGAAGGTGCTGTGCCACCCAAAATCTACCTACACTAAAATCAAAGTACCTACGCCATTTTTTCTGTCTAAAATAATTAAATCTTTTAACAACACGAAAAGGAAGTTTGGGGGAGAGTGAGCTGCTCCCCACATAAAACACCAGTAACATCCATGATTAAAGGTGAGAACTTTCTAGCATTAGATGTGTGACCCAAAGTACTGCTGACGTGGTTTTCTAAGTAAAACATGCCGCATGTCACGTGGCACGAACGCACCCTAACCCAACTAAAGCGTGAAGTCCAACACCCAAATGGCGAGCACGGCACGGACACACCATTCTATGCTGAAACAGACAGTCTGCTTCCCCGACAATTACATATTTTAAATAGGCGCAACTGTTCTAGGTTGTCTGCTCCTGGTATATTTTTCTCTGACTTCCAAAAGGACTTGCTGCTCCAACCAGGGGCAAGGGCTGGAAACCAGCAGACCTCAGCAGCACTCTGCACTGCAGGTGACGCAGGCTGGCCTGACCCAGTCCCCTGGAGGGGCACGGACACGGGAGAGCAGCCTCGCGCTGTGCCACGTGCTAGAGACACGTGATCTACCACGTCCAAGACAGCACCGATCCTAAGCTACCCCGCTGCTGATGTACCACCAAGAAGAAACACTGCCAATCGGCACAGTATTTTTCAACCACCCATAGTCACTCCAAGAGCCACTGAGACCTGCTGAGATGGATTTTAATGTATCTTAAACATACACAAAAAAGCATGGGGACTTCCCTGTGGCGCAGTGGTTAAGAATCCGCCTGCCAACGCAGGGGACACGGGTTCGAACCCTGTTCTGGGAAGACCCACACACCGCGGAGCAACTAAGCCCACGAGCCACAACTACTGAGCCCACGTGCCACAACTACTGAAGCCCACACGCCTAGAGCCTGTGCTCTGCAACAAGAGAAGCCACCGCAATGAGAAGCCCGCGCACCACAACAAAGACCCAACGCAGCCAAAAAAAAAAAAAAGCACGGTATGCACAGAGTACATAAGGGTACTGAGGATTTCTTCACACTCAGGGTCTAACTCCTCTGACCCACTGTCCGTCTCAGCTCTCAGCACCCTCTGGAGAAGGGGGAGCAGCGTCTTCTTCACTCACACAGGCAGCAGCTCAGGCAAAGGCCCTGCCACTGCTCAGGCCACAGCCCTCACGTGAGCAAGCAGCCCAGTGCCACCAGACCTGCCACCAGACCTCTGAGGAGCTCTGAAGTCGAATACAAGGACAGGCAAAGCAGTCACAAAGAACAAGGCAGCCTGGAGGTGGCACGGGCCATGCACTCAAAACTCGCTTTTAAAACTAAAAACTATCAACGGTATTCTCAGTGAACTAAGAGCAGAAAGCATCGCCAAGAACAGGATGCTATGAAAAAAGAATCGCCAGGGAACAGAGGTCTCTGTTGTTAAAAACAGGACAGCAGAAGTGAAACATTCACTTCAAGAGATGGAAGATGAGGGAATCTTCCATAGGATAGATCAAAGAAGTCAAAGGGAAAGAAAATAGAGGAAAAAAAAATAAAACAGAGGACCAGTCTTGAGGTCCAACAGGCAGACAGCAGGAGTTCCAAAACAAGAAAACTGAGAAAAACAGGACAGAGGAAATCAAAAGGAATGATTCAAGAAAAGGAACTCAAATTAATGGACTTAAGTTAAAAGGGCTGACTTGCATCTCAGCACAGTGGATGATAACCTACACCCAAGCCTGGCTCTGAGAAATGTGCAAAGGCTTGGGACTAAGAGAAGATCCTAAAACCTTTAGAAATTATAAAACAGGGCCAACACTGGATCAGGAGTCAGAGCAGATCCATGCTTCTCAACAGCAACACTGCAAGACAGTAAAGAAGAAGTGCTTCCGAGTTCCTAAGGAAAAATGACGCCTGGTCTAGAACTGTATTCCCAGTTACATGTCAGGTCAGATGGATGAAGACACTGCCAAACATGAAAGCCAGAAACTGTACCTCCCCGGGACCCCTTCTAAGAAGCTACTAGAACAACTATTAAAACCTAGAACTAACCCAAGGCAATAGATGAGTTAAGAGCTGAGAACAGGGTATCAGAGCCAGGAGGGAGGAAGGGACCCCGCGGGTGATGGTACGGGGGCCCCGCAATGAGACTGCACCAGGCCGAGTCCAGGTCGGAGCGGGGCCGTAGCTCCAGAGATGAAACCAATGGAATGCCGGATGCATTTGAACACAACCAGGGAAAACTTTAGGGGTGACTTTGTTTTCTAAGTACTTGTTCACAAGCAACAAACAAACAAAAAGAGACAATTAACTCCAGGTAGAATAAAGTGTCGGAAAGGAAAGGTACTAAATAAGCATATACCACACGGCTTGGGTAGCAACAACCTTCACACAGTCAGGCTAATTATCATACAAGCAATGAGGTGTATTATCACAAGAAACAGTTCCCTGCGCCTCCGGGTGATGTAGGCACAATGACTGGACTCTCTGCACACACAGAGCTGACGAACACAACTAAAGAAAAAAAAAATAGTTGTCAAGACTCATCCTTAGCTAATAGTGATAAAATGTTCAGAGCAGTTAAGATTGTTTCAAGATGAAAAACTTCTAAAGAAAAGATACAGCACTAAAATAAAATGTAACGTCTGGGTTCTTAACAAAGACTGGCACAAAAAGAATGGGTGTTTTAATTAGTATTGCTCCACAGTTCCTTTTAAGTCAATACAACTCTCCCGTCTACAGGCGTTTCAAGTGTTCGGGTAATCTTCTGATGTTTTTTTCCCACCCTGTCCTTCATGTGTAATAAGTATACTTTAAAAAAGTTTTAGTTATTCAACAGTGAATTTGGAAAAGCTGGTAAAATTTGGACATTTCACATGTACACAGATATAAAATAATTTTTGTATTTTAAAAGATTCTGTCATTTTCTTCCTGTATTTGCTTTCCTCAGTAACTAGTAATTACAACTTCAGCAAAAACAAAACGAACTCCATGAGAAAAAAGAACAGGAAACTCAAACTCCTGCTTGCAGTCCATTTGTTACTTACGGTCTTCCTATAAAATAACAACCTTTCATTTGTATCCTGGAAAACAATGACACATGAAAACTAAAAGTAGAGATAAACAAAGCTGAGAAAAAGGGGAGGGGGGGAAGTCGCTGACTTCTCCTTGAATGAGTGAAAGCTTTCAGAAAAAACCGCTTCTCGAGTCTTCCTATACTGTTAGCAATAGAGGGTACATCTCACCGTGGTTAAGGCAGAGACTCCTAATAAAGTTCTTTATTGTTCTGGCCACAGTACGATAGCTATTTATATCCATGTTCAAAAGACAACCTATTTAAAGGACAATTTATCCTAATTATTTAGGGCTCTGTGGACAAAAATTAATCCTCAGGTAAACTTCTTTCTTTCTTTTTTTTTGGCTGCATTGGGTCTTCGTTGCTGTGTGCGGGCTTTTCTCTAGTTGCAGCAAATGGGGGCTACTCTTCACTGTGGTGCACGGGCTTCTCACGGTGGTGGCTTCTCTTATTGTGGAGCACGGGCTCCAGGCACGTGGGCTTCAGAAGTTGTGGCACGCGGGCTTCTCATGGTGGTGGCTTCTCTTATTGTGGAGCACGGGCTCCAGGCACGCGGGCTTCTCATTGTGGTGGCTTCTCTTGTTGCGGAGCATGGGCTCTAGGCGCGTGGGCTTCAGTAGTTGTGGCACGCGGGCTCAGTAGTTGTGGCCCGTGGGCTCTAGAGCACAGGCTCA